GATCCCTTTGGCGGTCGAACGACCCTTTCACAGGTGTCGCCTAAGACCATCCTGCATATCAGATATTTACATTACGATTCATAACAGTAGCAACATTACAGTTATGAAGTAGCAACGAAAATAATTTTATGGTTGGGTCACAACATGAGGAACTGTATTTAAAGGGCCAGAAGGTTGAGAACCACTGCAAAGGCTGCTGTATCCAGCATACCACTGCCTGGTGTGAACATGCCGAATTTGAGATGACTCTCAGACGCCTAGGTGACTAGAGAGAATTACAGGTGGGTTCCCATGAGAGGGTGAGCCAAAGCAGGGTCTTCAAAGTCCCAATGGTCTGATTTATTTGGGCAGAATGGCACTGAGAAGTTAAGTTCCAGGCCCCTAAAAGAGCTCTGCTGTGAATCTTTTTTAGGCTTAAAAGGCAGGTACCACTTCGCCAGTTTAAAGGCACCAAGTAAGACAGTATTTCAGGTGATATACAAATTAAAAACTAACTGCAGATGAGCATGATGACCAATATGCTCTTGGAATTATCTTTTCCAAAGAGCCGTAAGTAAACCCCAAGGATTTCCACTGATGCCTGTTACAGTGTTTCCCATAATCATTTACTGCCATCTGCTGGGTCAAGCGATGCAACACTCAAGAACAAATTGCAGCTCAAGAACCAATTGAACTCTAAATAGGTAGGCTCTTAGTCTTCTGCTGTCACTGTTATTAAAGCAAAGCCATGAAAATACACCCAACCAATTTTTGTCAGAAGTCTAAAAGTGACACAATAGAGGAAGGGTAGCCTTTTCAACATGTGGTGTGGGATATGCAACTGGATATTCATAGACAAAACTATAAAACCTGCCCTAAACCTCACATTTTGTGCAAAAATTAATCCAAAATTTTGGATCATAGAAAATGGAAAACATAAAACTATAAAACTTTTAGATGAAATTGCCAAAGAAAATATTCAGGATCTAAGAGTTCTTAAACCAGGCACTAAAAGCATAATTCATAAAAGAAAAGGAACGGATACATTCGATTTCATCAAATTAAAACACTTGTTCTTCACAAGACCCTGCTGAGAATGTAACTACAAGAACAGACTAGGGGAGAATATGTGCCAACCATGTATCTGATAAAGAACGCCTACCTAGAATTTATAAAGAATCCTCAAAATGCAAAACAGACAAACCCAAACTGTTTAATTATTAAAAAGGCAAAAAAAAACCAAACAAAAGAAACCAAAACATGAAAAGGTTTTTCACCAAGGGACATATAGATAGCAAATAAGCAAGTGCAAACACATTGAACATAATTATCAAATAGGGAGATGAAATAAGATCATCCCCCCATCACACACCCATCAAAACAACAAAAATGATTTATAATGACAACCCAGAATTCTGGGGAAAATTAGGAAAACCTGGGTCTTTCATACATTATGGATGGCG